CCCTCAAATGCAATAATCCTGTTCCTATTTCACCATGAAACAGCCACAAAAATGAATAATCCAAATCCCGCCATCAACTTCTACTCACTCATGAATAATTCAAATACTTCAGCGACCTCTTCGACGACGACAATTTCAGGGGGTACAAGTTATTTCAGACAGGGTAATGTATTTCAGCGATGGTAACCAAATTCAGCAATGGCAATCTACTCCTACGACGACGGCAACGTGATTTCGAAAAATCCTTTTTGGTGACTGCAGGAACTTGGATGTAGTTTCGTAGAAGAAAATCAGTTTCTCCCTTTCTCTATCGCATGAATTCACTGCTCAATGTTCAGAGATAATCAGGGCAATTTGGTCTTTTGGCCGAAAATCTATATTCCAAATTGGTACCTAGTGCCCTATTTGTCATTTTGCTTATTCAGGTCCCTTATTTGTCTTTTTGGAATTCAGGTGGTATTTTATTGTCATTTTCCCTATTTATAAGGATCAATTCTTTTTTTTTTTTTGGCCAACTTATAAGGATCAATTCTAGAAGCTACTATATACACACATGTATATGAGAGAGCATATGAAATGATGAAACAGTTCAGTCAAGTGGCTGGCTCACATTGAATTTTAATGAATTTGTCGGATCTCTTTTAATGTCTTCGAAGTTTGAAGTTGTCATTGTCAATAATAGCACTGCGTGTTTAACACGGTAGATCTAAAACAAAGGAACCTAGATTTTTCTTATATTAAAGGGCGGATATCGGGCAGCTTCATAACACGTGCAAGGAATTAATTGGCAGTCCGGTCCCTAACAGATTTTGTTGGAAATCTTTTTTTTGGTTAAAGGGAGCGGCATCGAACCCGCAATGCACACACTCCACACACCCATACATACCACTCGGCCAAATAGCCAGTGGCTATTTTGTTGGAAATATTTTTGAGCTGAAAAATTTTGTTGAAAATTAAATTAGAATCAATTTAAATAAGTACTTAAATAATTACAAGTATGAAAGTCTAAGCAGATGTTAATTAACACTACTTCTGGATAACTAATTTGTGTAAATTAATAAAATTAGTTAATTATCTATAATAAATATGTCTTAGTTTTTTTTTAAATTATCCTATTTAGGGGGTATTTAGATGAAACCAAATAATGGTTTGAAGAATAATTTTTGAAGAATATATTTTTTTTATAAAGAATAGATTTTGTGAAAAAATGATCTTGATAAAGTGAGAGTGTTTAGATAGTTGTTATCAAAAGCACTTTTTATATGTACAAATTACTAAAAAAGACATAAGTTAATATGATAATTACATAAAAGATAGATTTTATAATCTATTTTAATTTGAAAAAATAAATTTGTTAATAATATATTTTATAGCAACATAATTAATAATATATAAGAAAATATAATTAATAAATAATTAATATGTGTATTTATATTTATAAAAAAATAAGATTAAATATGTTTATAAAAAAAAATAAATAAAGAAGTGTCGTAATAATTAAGATGTTGCATCAATATAGAGCATTTGTAATAGGTTTTTCTTAACTACATATTACCATTTGGTCGAAGCTTTCCTTCAATGAAAGTTTAAGACCTTATCTATATATTAATTCTCCAATTAGGTTCTACATTAAGGCGTAGAATAATAATCTTATATTTAAAATCAATATTAACTCTCTAATTATATTAAGGATTGGAATAATAAATTTGTTAATAGTTTTTTTGCCAACATAGTAAATAATAAATAATGTATAAAAACATATACTAATTATTGCCTCCGATCCTAAATATAAGAGTTAGTTAACTAATACTAATTATTGCCTCCGATCCTAAATATAAGAGTTAGTTAACTAATTTGAGTAGATTAAGAAAATAAGTTAAGTTAATTATTTGTAATAAATAGCTGTTGTCTTTCCTAAAATATCCCTATTAATCAAGTTTATTGGTTAGAACTACTATTATTAGAAAGATTATCTTGAAAAATGATAGACAAATATAAGAGACAAAATAGATTAGGGTTTTATATTTAAGACTAAAATAAAAGTCAAATAAAGTCTTATATTAAGGATCAAGGTAGTAATTATTAATATGTGTACATATATTTATAAAAAATAAGATTATGTTTTTAGAAAAATTGAGTAATATGTTTTTAACAGAAAAATATTATTTTAAGGGGTGGGGAGGAGAGGCAGTCAAAAGACAAAAAGAATCAGAGAAGAGAAAGAAGAAGTGCAAACTGCAAAGGCATGAAGATGACTTTGACGGGGCAAACAATTTTGCTGACAACGCCCATATTCGTTCAAAAAGCGAAACAATTTCGTTCATCACTAGAGGGGTGTTTGGATAGAAATCAAATTATGATTTCAGAAGTGTTTTTATAATTTACGAAATAAATATATAAAAAAATTTGTTTCGTTTTACGAAAAAGTACTTCTAAAACTATGATTTAGAGGTTTCCAAACACCCCATAAATCATGGTTTTGATGAGCCAACCACGGTTTTATAATAAAACCCTGGTTTCAAAAAATTAAGTGGTGTTTGGATACTTTTGGGGCCAAACTTTAGTTTGGGTTCCAAAAGTGCTTTTCTTAGGTTTGCAAAACACCCTTTTAGTCATATGTATTCGAAATACTACCTAATTGAGAGCTTCCTTAATACTACTTCCTGTTCTTAATATAAAATATTATTTGACTTTTATGTTGGTCTTAAATATAAAATCTCAATTCACTTTGTCTTTTATATTTATACATTTTTTTCAAGATAGTCCTTTTATTAATAATAGTTCTAGCTAATACATTTAATTAGTATGAATATTTTAAGAAAAATAATATTTATTTATTACAACTAACTAACTAAAATTATTTCCTTAACTTCCTCAAATTAATCAACTAGCTTTTATATTTAGGATTGGAGGTAATATATGCACTCAATATTAATACTTTGAGTAAAAAAAATTATAAATTTAGAAAAATAAAGTGGACTGAGATCATTAAAGTAAATTTTTTTTTCTAATTCTCATATTTAGAAGGAGGAGTATAGTAATAGTGAAGTATAATATATGGCTTGCACCTTGAACTCTCATATTTAGAACTTTCTGAATTATTATTTATAACTTATTTTTTTAACACAACTTTTTAGACACCTAAACCTTTGGAGTTTACATAATCATCACCCTTCAAAAAATATTAGCCAAAAGGAAGAGAGAGACAAAATAGTCAGTCCAAAAGGACGGCTATTGTGGACTTGACCATTTCGCTAAGACTAGTTCGGCAGTATATATAGGCGCTCATACTACAGCTGCTAGTCTTCTACTACTGAAGTTTGTCTCTTGCATCCTTAACCAAGTGTCTTCAACTTAATGTCTTGATAGAGCAGAGGTTTTGATCGAAGGAGACCAGTAGAATTTGTTTCATCATTCTATTTTTAAAAAACCTAAATATTTTGTACTTTTTGATAAATTACATGTTATTTAGTCAATCAATCCAATTACTTCATAATTTGTGGCTTATGAGGTTAATTTGGAGAATACCTTACGAGTGCGTTTAGCTGCAACAGATAAAATGACACACAGAAAATATAATTACTATTCCCAGTACATTTGAATGAGCGACAGTATATTCAGGAGAGGAAGCTTTTAAGATCTCATACTTTAACATCAATGGAAAATTGAATTACTTAAGTAAAATTACATGTAAGCTTGTTATTATGATATATCTAACTCAATTATATCATTTATGGAGAAGATTTATCACCTGCTTAGCCTTCAATACTTACCATGCTTTCATTTAATTAAATTAAAACATGTAAATGTTAAAGCTATTGATTGAACCTCTCTAACTTGTGAAAAAGAGCTCATCATAATATAAATAAACTACTTCTGATTCTTAATATGAAAATTCGTTGGAATTTTTTTATATATTAAATATAAGACTAAAAATTATTTTTCTTTATCATATTTATTTATTTTTTCTCAAAATAATAGCAATAGTGATTACACATTTTAAAGTTTTTATGAAAGGATAGTTCCAACATACTTGATTGAAGAGGATATTTTAGAGAGACTAACACATATTTGTGACAAATAATCAACTTAACTAATTTTTTTTATATCTCCAAATTAGTTATCTAACTCTTGTGTTAAAGATCAGAGGTAGTATATAAAATTTTAGATTCCTTGATTTGATTAAAAGTACAAACTAGTGATCCCGTTATTGATTGAACCTCTCTAACTTATGATTTGTGACTATCATATGGTTGTGTTTGTTCCCAAATTAGAAATTAATTTTTTATTGAAGTAGAAAAATCTCTCAGGCCTCCTTTTTGTTGATGTAATTGAACGGTTTTATTTCTCATTTTGAGAAGACACACGGAAATTTTCCAAATCTAAAAGTGATTTTTTTTTTACCAGCAATCTAGAAGTAAAGTAATAATTGAAAACAAAAAAAGAGAGTTACACGTAGATGGAATTCAGTCACGGGATTCAAGGAACACGACGAATACGATATTCCAAGGATCCCAAGAAGAAAGAGAGTACTTTGTCTCTATTCTTGATATAAAATCTAGTTTAACTTTTGATTTAGTTATAAATATAATACTTTAATATATTTTGTTTTTTATATTTATCTATTTTTTTAAAGTAGTTTTTGTAGTAGTTACATACGTTAAGTGTTCAATCAAATAATAGTTTTAGCTAATACATGATTTGTAAAGATATTTAAAAAAAAATCCAATTATTACAAATAATTAAAGCAACAAGAGGGATAGAAGGAGAGTAAAATAAAGCCTGCAAATTCCGAGTAAAGTGAGAATCATCAAAGTGAAATTTCCCTTTGTTGCGCTGTCCATTGTTGACTAGTAGCGGTTGGGAGTAATATTGAAGATTGAGGATGGTTTGTTTGGGTATGAAGAAAGTAGAATCAGTGAATTGCTTTTGAAACATAACCATATATATATATATGTATATGTGTGCGTATATCATTGCGCACACACGCAATCTCATCCATGGCTACACTACCGACGGATCTGGATCCACTTGTTCGTGAACGCTGGTTGAGATTACCGCCTTTTTATGGGACGCTGTCTACCAAACATACCTTCCTGCTCGTTATTACTTGTCTGGCATGCTCGTGTGTTTCTTTTGAGTGCATGGTTAAAACAGGGAAGGGAGCAAATGAGCGGTTTCAGACGGTGAGAGTGCTCACAGTAGCCTATATTTGGCGTTTGATGCAGTTTATATTGGGGCAAGACAAGGTCCCTCCCCTCTATTACCTACGAAATGTTCTCCCAATCTATGACCTCCCCATCACTGTAGTTTTTGCTGCTTTTTGCTACGTCCTTCCTGTAATTGCGAAATCCCCGGAAGCTAGTTTACTTCTGCATGCTTGTTTTCTGCTCTGGATTGTGTACGAGGTGCGCCATTTCCCCCCTTCTCTTAACAAGCATTGATTATAGGGCCATGACAATTATATCCGTTACCTGCTGTTCACGCATACACTTGACTTCATTGTGCCAGAAATAATAAATATGTTTGTTGCACACAATATTTTCAGTAGTTGAGTCGTCAATATACCTCACTAATGAACATGTTTTTATGAACTTGTTCTGAAATATAATGGTTGCTTCAATGATCATGCATCTGCAGAAACTGAAACAATATATCAGCCCCACCCCAGCCTCTTCTTCCATCACCAAGTTGCTTCATCAACAGAATAATGATGCTGCTAATAATTCAATATCTTCTAACCCATGGGAAACACTGCATGCTTTTCATATTCCACTTATCGACCATTTCACCGTCATCCTCCTGGCGGCGCTATGTGTTGATTTAGGGGTCCAGATTGAAAGCCTGCACGGAACAGGGGCACTGGAATGCTGGAGCCTGTTGCTTCTAATAAAAATTATGTCCTGTCCCATGCCGTCGCCCGTGGGGGTGAAATTCGAGGGCCTTTCCGACCAACACCCACGGAAGGTTATCCTATCTTATCACCTCCCAATTACTGCAGCTATCACTGCTTTTTACGGCATCGTTCGCACATTTCCCAAAGTCTTACTCCTTGCATCATCTATGGATTTAATTTCTCTGGCTTTGGGGCAATGCGAAACACAGGTTTTTACTGGGGCTGCAGAAGTTGGAGCTGTTTCTTCTTTAAACACTGGCTTGGTTCATCAACACAATTATGCTGCTCCTCATTTAGTCTCTTCTGCATCGAATTTTATATTTGATGATCCTAGCGGGGGTGGCGGGTCCTTATCTTTTCATGTTGCCTCTAGCAGGTATGTATACAAGTTGTGGACTAAATTCGTATTTCATCTTATTTTCTCAATATCTTGATTTATTAGCCATAGAAAACATGTACTGTGTTTTCCTAATAAATTGGGTTCTGATCGTCTTCGTCAAATTCAGAGTAAAGTGAGAGTCCGAGTTAATTTAACTTTGAGACGAAAACATTTATTTATTAAAAAGAAAGAGAAAATTCCGTCGCGGTGCTTTGCTTTCTCGACTAGCTGTTAATATGGAGAGAGCAATAGCAGATAAACTATTCAGTAGAACTTAGAAAGGACTTTTTTGCTGTAAGGGTGTTGGGTGTTTAAATAGAAACTAAACTATAATTTTAAAAGTATTTTCATATTATATGAAATAAATATATAAAAAAATTTGACTCGTTGTATAAAAAAATACTTTTAAAAAATATTTTTTCACGTTAGCCAACGCTGCCTTAGAAACTGTGGGATGATAGAAATAGATGCATTTTTTCCAATGCGCCTTTAGCTACTAAAACATTTTACTTTCTGATTGTTCCATTGTTAATCACAAAGCTAACAGCCTTTTGAACCTCATAGATGCGGAAGCTTAGATGGTAGTGCCTTGTAATTTTTTGTACATTCTGTTAATACATTTTCCTACCCACTCAAAAAAAAAAAGACAGGACTTTTAATTTGTGAAATTATTTCACCAGACCAACGGTTTTTTTTTTTTTGGGAACATACACATATCACAGAGATCCTGCAGTCTCATTCGTGGCTGCGCAACTGGGGGATCGGCCTCTTCGTGAATGCCCGTTGAGATTATTAATGCCCTCTACTGCGGAGCTGGTTTCACATTTTGGCTTAGTGATATGTTTTGCTCCAATGGTCCTGGCTAAAACACCGAAGGAAGCACATAAGTTGCTGGAACTGTTTCCCGAGCTCATGGGTTTTGCAGCAGTGCAACTTTCAAAATGTCTGCACGTAAGATGGGCGAAACACGGGAGACCTCACGGCTATTGCCCACGACAGGTTGAACGACTTTATGGCATGACATTTACTGCAATTATTATCTTGTCCATCGTCTTACGTTGGCGTTCCGAATCCTTATTCGTTGCATACGGTCTGGTTTTGCATCTTCTTTTCCTCATCATCAGCACTCTCGACGTATCTGTATCCCTAACAGAGGTAGTCCACGAAATCCAAGTAGGCCATTTCTTCCCTTCTCTTAACAAGCATGGTAGAGCCGCGTCAAAATATGCGTTAGCTGCCTATATATTTCTTAATTATAACCAGAACATAAACTACATACAATGGAAAATCTATTATTTCATCTAATTGCATCATCACAGTACATTGTAGAGTATTTACAGAACTTCTCAAGGTACAATAGCAGGACATGTATTCTAATAACCGAACATGCGTGCTTTCATGAACCTGTTCTGAAATATAATGGTTGCTTCAATGATCAAGCAGGGCGGGGAAGTGGAACAAAATATCAGCCGAACCCCAGCCTCTTCTGTGAAAACTGAGTTTCGTGATCAACAGAATTATGATGTTGCTGCCAGTGCCTGTGTGGCGCAGTGGCATCATAGCCGCCTGTTGGCGGCCTTTAACAGGGTTCGATCCCTGCTCGCAAGGTCTACTTGCCTACTCCAAAAAGAAGAAGAAAAGAATTATGATGTTGCTCATTCAATCTCTTCTGCAACCAACTTTGGCCAACGTGAAAGAGAGGATCCTGCTGGGGCTGCAGAAGCTGGATCTGTTTCTTCGAACATTGATCAACACAATTATGATGATCCTCAATCATTCTCTTCTCCCTCAAATTTTAGAAAAAGGCCAAAACGGGATCCTCCTACTGGGGCTGGTGGATTCGCATCTGTTCGTGCTGCGTCCTCCATGTATTTGGACCTAGTGTTCCTAATCTCATCATTTCTTAGTCAATAATTAATGCATTATTTGGACACTTGTGTAGCCATCAATGTGTTTTGTTTTCCATTCTTGACAGAGTCTTAAGTCCAATACAGGAAGAAGAAGATGATGATGATGCTAATTCAACATCTAATGCCGACAATTTTAGCAGATGGAAAAAGGGGAAAATTATTGGGGCTGGTGGATTTGGGACTGTTTATCTTGCCTATAACAGGTACTTTTTTTTTCCCCCCTTTTCCTTGACTGAGCCTATAACAGGTATGAGTTAACTGAAATTTTGATCTTATCGTCTTAATTTTAATTTCTTATCAAGAAATATGTGTTGGAAGCCTAGCTAATAAGCTGTGAACACTTGCTCGGAGCATAAAAGCCATGTCGTGTTCTTCATTTCTGACAGGAAAACTGAAAAATTATGTGCAGTTAAGGAACTTAAAGACATTTTCAAACCTGAAAATGTAGCATCGATAAAGAAGGTACGTCTTATATATATTACTAAATTTTCTAGTGTGTGCAAATAAAATATAAGAAATTGAGATTAGATTTAGAGTTATAAATTAAAAATTAATTGTAATTAAACTCTGTATTCTTCTCATCATTTTTTCTCTTGAAAAACTTGATACCTTAAAAGAATCAAAATTCTCTTCCTATTACTTTTTCTATTAATTAACAAACATTATAATTCCAAAGGATCCGCATTATGCCATACATAGTTTCTAAATTCAACCAGACCGCAGTGATTATGATGTCATTGCAAGTCAATAAATCCGTTACCAATGTTAAAAAGATGGAGAAAGAAAATTATTTGTCTACGGCGCATTTCACTGTATCAAACATGACTAAAGTATATTTGTGCTTTCAGGAAATCGAAATTCTCAGCAAACTGAAACATTCCAATATTGTGAAGTATTATGACAATGAAATAGTAAGTATTCTCCTGATTTAAGCTGAGGATGAAACTATGCACACAATTACTTAATGACTTGGTTCATGCATAATTAGGTTGGACACCGCATTTGTCTATACATGGAATACATCCAACCAGGTTCATTGAAGAAGTATATATCAGAACAAGGGGTTTTAAATGAACATTTAATTCAAAATTTCACTGCACAAATTCTGTCCGGGTTGATTTACCTGCGTAGCAAAAGAGTAGTGCACAGGTATGTTCCACATGCCTGTATGGAATACGCTAGACATTGTAACACACATATCTTGTAGGATAATTAATTTTTTAACTTATGTTTCAAAATCACACTGAAAATAGGGTTGTCAAAATGATAAGCATATGTTGGGATTGTCTTCCTAAGTAATTTATTGCCCCCGGGACAAAAACACCACTGGCACACATTTCTTCTAATGCAAACAGAGGAGAATTTGGGGGAGGTTCACAAAAACATAGAGGAAGAGAGAGGGGGAAACAGAACAGTGATGGCGGGGGATAGGAGAGACCAAACTAAAGAGGGGGTTAGATCGAGAAATGAAGGGAGAGATAGGACCAGAAAGAGCGGGAATAAGAAGAACTTGAGGAGGATAGAGAGGTACACACATATTTATAGGTTGAGGTTTCCAATTCTCCTGAAGGAAACATCCGCTTGCTCTACCCTTTCCTTTCTATGCCCACTTGCTCGGCCATCATTACAAAAAGAAACCCTACCCACTAATACATGTAATGACTAAACAACCCACTTACAAAATAGGGGAAAAACAGAAAGTAATAAAATATAAAAGTAGGATAGATTTCCTTTATAGGAGGTTTGTTCAAAAAATATATATATATTATTCTTATATTCTATAACTCTCTCATTCTCTCTTTGTTCTTGTGTATGATTATATAGGGACATAAAGCCTGACAATCTGCTTGTCGATTCTAATAACAACTTAAAGCTGGTTGACTTTGGTTTGGCTAAGCATGTAAGTTCTTGGATATCTTGTACAACATGCATTCACGTGACAAAATCAAGGCCATTTGTTTTTGAACATGTTTAGGATCGAGTTTTTGTGTCCCATAGTATTGGTGGTTACTTTTGCCTTTGTGGCCTTTCAAATGCCCTTGGAATTGACATTATAGTCCCAACAGTCAGCAATAACTTAATTGGTTTTTCTGTGTTGTATAGTTAGCAAAATCTGTGGGCAAGCACTCCCAGTTGGGAACTCCATATTATGCAGCGCCAGAGGTATATACTTTCATACTTTACATTATGCGTTACAAAGTATTTCTTAATTAAACTTGGTTCTCATACATACAGGTTCTTCAAAAAATAGAATATAAGAGCTCTCTTGAAGCTTTTGCTGCTGATATATGGAGTTTGGGTTGCGTAATCATTGAAATGTTCTCAGGGGAGCATCCTTGGCCTGGTTTGGAATGGGTAAACACTTGTACACTTCAATATATATATGTGTGTGTGTTTGGAGCTAGCATTGTATTAGATCATACGACCTCTTAATTTGCATATAAGATCAACGAATGTAAGCCTTTGTTATTTTCCGCTATAAAAATTTCTCTAAACATGTGAATCAATAAATATTCTAACCAAACATTTTATTGCTTCACATGTTTAAAGCAATAAAATATTCTAAACAAAATCAACAACTTGTTAGTCAAAATGATAAGCTGTCTGACCCTGTATGGAAGAAAACACCAGTTCAAATGCCTAAAAGCGCACTTGTTAGGAGGATTTTAACTTTAATGCTCTTGGTCTGACAAAGATTAATCTCAAACTCAAAGTGATATGAGAATACTTTAAGTTATACCCAAAATATTCTAATCCCTGTTTTTGCTTTACCCAACAGAAACATGAGACATCTAATCTTGGAACCGTAGACTTCTCAGCATGTGCATAACGCGCAGGGTGTCACTGTAAACAAAGCATATAATAACGTACTCAAAGGACTAGCTAATCTTTAGGTTTGGCGTTAATGCAATAGTGCCTTGGTTAAATGCAAGGACAAGTGAGAAATTAGGGTACATTTTTTCAACAAAGTAATTGTGGAATTATATGAGACATTGTATCCCATATATGGAGCTTACATTTATTAGTTAATTATGTATTTCACTAAAAGAAATTCATTTACTGAGCAGCAACAGGCGTTCTGTAAAGTTTGTATTAATGAGGAACATCCGCCCATACCAGAAGGATTATGCGAAGATGGTAAAGATTTTCTGGAACTCTGCTTCACAAGAGCTCCGGCCCAGCGGCCTTCTGCTGCAGCATTACTACGCCATCCCTTTGTAAAAGCACAAAACAACTTAACTTGCCGATGGAAGAAAGAACAATGATTGATGTTCTACGTTGAAGGTATTGGGACTTTAGTATGATATATATAGCTAAGGTCTTAGTTTATATAACAAGGCACATCTCTTCATTTGTTTTGTGCATAGGAGCATTGTTCGCAAAGAAAGATCAATGTTGCGTGTTTAACGCTGTAGATCTAAAAGAGAGGAATCTTTTAATAGTTCTCAAAGAAAGATCAATGATTTTTTTCTTTAAAAAAAAAAAAAAGAGAGTATGGGGCAGTTCCATAACACGTGCAATGAATAATTCTTTGGAAAATAATAGTTAGGTTTCAAAACTTAAATCTGATAACAGTCCGGTCTCGACAAGCTTTGTTGAAATCGATTTAAATAATTACAGGTAGGAAAGTCTAAGCTGTAAATCAGAAATTATTAGTAGTCTAGTATTAGTATATAATAAGAACAACATACACACACTCTCCGAATATTTTGAAGGCATACTTTTATATACATATTATTTTTATTTATGAATATTAAAAAGATTTCTCATCATTTTAAAAATAATTTCATTTATGAAACAATTCATGATGGGGGTAATGGTAATTTGTGGAGCCAATCAAGCAATGCTCCTGGCCAGGAAGACTCTCCTATCAAGAAGGTGGAAATAGCAAATGGATTGCAACACTTATCTAACTTGTGGGTTTCCCTATACTTCTCCCATTTTATACTATTCCTGCATCCAAACACTCCATTCGCCATAATGAAAAGCAACCTGCCGCTTTAACCTTACTGTTTCTACATATTCTCTGATTTTCTCATCAAAATTAGCCTTCAATTCCTCCATCTCCTTCTTCCTCAACTCACAGAAGTTCACACTGTACATCATAAACTCTATTCCTCTTAGCAATCTCCTCCATCCTCCTCGTTCTTCAAACTGATTCTTCTGCAGAATCCAACAGTGAAGTGTCATCAGAAAATAAGAAGTATGTGATTGGGTTCATAAGCACAGTTGCCACTGCAGCTGTGTATGGATTGATGCTTTCTGTGACACAGCTTGCATTCAGTAAAGTTGTGAAAAGCAAAAGCTTCAAGGACATTTTCGACATGATAGTGCATCCGTCCCTTGTGGCATGTTTGGTAGCAGTGATGGGGCAGTTTGGGCGTGGGGAGTTCGGAGGGTTGAAAGGAGAAATGGAAGGGTATGAAATGGGGAAGGGAAGTTATATGTTGACATTGAACTTCACTGCTATAAACATGGCAAGTTTATGTAGTGGGATGTTTGAGTTTGATTCTGTCTTATTCTTTGTTCTCTAATGCCTTAAACCGCTACATCAATATTTTAAGATAAAACTACTAAAACTTAATTTTAAATGCATGGATGAGTTATGAGGACTGTTTTTTTTTTTGGGGCTAATGAATACATTAAATAGGAGAAACTTGGGGTTGTGTCAATTCAAAGTTATAATAAAATAAATAAATAAATTGATATTATTCATATGTCAAAAAAGGGTTTCAAGACTGTTCTCCGGGGGATGCTGAACTCCACCGACATTCAACGTGGTGACCAAGTCAATGGAAAATTATTTTCTAACAGTGCTGGAACGAGAATTTCCTAGAGAGTTGACATTGGTGGATTTTTTTCTTCACCCACATTATTTTAAGCGTAGCCAAGCTCAAGATCTTTAAGATCCTTTGTCTTAGAATTAATTCCTGTTAATAAGACGCAGCTTTCTTTTGTTCTTCTAGAAAAGATTGACATTAATTGTTCAAATTTATTCATATGAATTATTCTCAACATCTTATGCGCTCACACACAAAATAGACATCAATTTCTCATATTCAAAGCATGAAGAAGAGCAGCTCCACGCAGGATGTTCAACTTGATTTAAAAAACGAAGGGGATGACGCAAAATTCAATGTCCGAAAATAGCACACATTATGTGGTTCAAAATTAACACATCCTCTTTTAAGATTGAGAAATTGACTAAACTAAAGGAGGGGGAAAACGAAGATTTGTTGCTTAAAAGTTAAGGCCAAAACATGTTTGTTTACATCAGGTGAATGTCCAAAACCATAACTTTTCAATCCGGGTCTCCATTGTGAAGGATACTTTAATAATGACAAAATTCACCAAAAATTACATTGGCTTGATTAATTACTGTAGAAAAAATTACGGCAGCAGTAGTAAAAGTAGTGAGAAAAGCAGATATTCTCACAAGCTCACACCTTGACAAGAAATGACAAGTTGCTACGCATTAAAAGTAGAAAAAAAAATGACAAGTTGCTACGTGTTAAAAATAGAAAAGAAATGACAAGTTGCATTAATTTATGGGCATATACGTGAACGTTGGTTTCCTCTACAAACACCCTTTCTCTGCTCCTGAATTCCCAACCCAAACAACCTCATCATTGTCACCACCTTCAAATTTCGCCTACCTGCTCCTTGGGTTTCTTGTTTCTTTGTTCTATTTTGGCGCTTTTCCTGTCAAGCTTTGGTCATTTGATGTATCATGTATGCAGATTTACTGGGGGATGCGTGCTGAAGGTTTAATGTCCTCGTCTCTGGTGGTGGTGGGGGTGGAGGAAGAGACTAAGCTCGTGCGGAAGCAGGGCACAGTCACTATTCTGAAGACTATAAGAGGAACGGAGCTTCTACTTTTCCTCCCCTCCCGGCGACGTTTTCTATCTGTAGACATAATTTTCTCCAAGAAATGGCTCTCCCAAAAGAAGACAGCTTCATCCCAAAAGCTTTCACATTCAGAAACCATCGTTGCTTCTGCTCATGGAAAATATGGTAACTGGACAAAGACCAATGGCAGTCAGTACATGCTTGTTGTTGAGAGGATGAGTCAATCTTGTAACAAATCATATCATTCATAATTTACTCTCATTTTCTCCTGTGTTTTTTCTTTTCAATCTTAGATTTTGCAGATTCGTGTGGGAGGACCAGAACTTCGATTGTTCCAGGAGGTATGCAGGATGAAATTTCCACTGCTTCTCTCATCAAGCATGATGCAGAGATGGCCGACAAGCCAGAAGCTGAAATTGATAGATCTGAATCGATTCTAAGTTTGAGAAAGAGTACTGTATGGGGAAATAGGTCACATCTCAGAGCTCGTCTAGCCTCATTCATGGAAGCCACCATGGCTGCAAAACTTGTGGTGGTGGGAGGAGCTCTGGTTTCCTTGATGGCAGTGCTTCTACGGGGCACAATTAATAAGGCCTCAATTTCGTCTCTACTTGGGAATAAGGAGACCCAACACTAACACCTCCCACTGGTTTGCCTCAAATAAGCTTCTCTTTATTGTTCTTGCTGTTTTCCACTTGTTCATGAGTCTCACAGCCCCACAGCTGCCATTGTTTGAACGGATCATGGATGCCATAATTCTGATTCATCTGATTCAACTTCTTATTCCCCTCGTCCCACTGCTATCACCTCTGTTTCCCTACTTGCTCCCAAGAAAGGAGCTCAACCAGGACCAGGTGTGCCATTTCTGCGTTTGTTTCTCCTACAGACAATGACAAATTATTTGTGTTTCTGAGGAATTTGATCTTTGCTGGAAAGAAGATATCAGCTCCATCGAAGGTGGTGGCTTCAATGATGAACCTATCAAGTCTGAGTTGGTCATGCAAGAGCGTGATGCTTCTGCTAATTCAATCTCTCACACCACCAGTTTTAGCAGATGGGAAAAAGGGCAACGCATTGGGGCCTGTGGATATGGGATTATGTTGCCCACAAAAGGTATATGAGTAAACTGAAATTTTGATCTTATTGTCTTAATCTGATGTCTTAGGAAGAAATATGTGTTGAAAGCCGCTTCCTCGGAGCCATAAAAAACATGTTGTCTTCATTTCTGACAGGGAAATCAGAGAGTTAGTTGCAGTTAGGGAACTTAACGACATTTGCGAACGCGAACATGTAGAATCTATTAAAAAGGAACGTCTTGTGTATATTGGACCCTGCAAAAATTCTTTAGGTACGGCCGCGAAATAGTTAATGAGGTATCAAGTCAATTCAATTAAAAAAAGGGAGGAAAAAACAGAGGAGTGCAGAGAAATTCTTCAATTTCAGTCAGTCTCAGTTCGGCAGAAACAATTTCAGAATCCATCATCATCAAGAAAGGACAAAGAGAAAGAAATAAAACAGTGTTAATGTATCTAATCTTCCTCCTCTTCTGAGACGAACCAGCAGCAACTGTATTTCCAGCTCCAAAGTTGTCGGCCAGTCACCTCTCAAGACGTGTTTCCCTCACTACCTACTCTCTTCCCAGTCGTAGTCGAAGAAGAAGAACCCAGAGCAGCTCACCGTCTCTCCCCTCTCGTCGAAGACGATCTCCAGTTCTCCACCCAACCAGTCCGACAGCGTTCCCGGTTCGCGAGCAAAGAAGACGACCTCGTCACCGTCCTGTCTCCCTCAGGCCAGTCGCGACCTCCGCTGCTCACGTCCGTCGAACTCGACTTCCTCCTCCAAGAAGAAGACGATGAACTGTGAAGACCGGTGCCAGACGCCTCCTTTTCCCCGCTCAGTTCAGTCCGTCGCCTCCAAGCTCCAGAGATGTGTGAGAAATAGGAGGGTCATTTTTGTATTTTTGGGTTAATTAGTTTAAGCCCAAATTGCTTTAGATCTGATTACGTTTCTGGTTCTTCTTGACTTTCTTGTATTGTTTGTTATGTCTGCTGGGCTCTATAAAAGGGGTCCAGTGTTGGCTTATTCTATTAAGCCCATTTTGATGTAAATATCAGGTTATGAGATTAATGGAAATAGCTCGTTTCTATGCGTAGTGTGTGTGGTTTCTGGTAGGGCCTAATGTTTCAACAAGATGAATTTGATTCCCCGTCAACGAACCAGACCAACCAAAACCCACAGTAGCCTTGGATCCAGTTTCCGCACTATCCTAAACTCAAATTCTGGATCATCCATATTTTATTTGATTATTTGGATTCAATTCAATTTATTTATATTTATTTAGAATAATTATTTTAATATGTATATAATTTAAAATAAAGATAATTCTTTAATAATTATTTTTAAAAAATAATTTTTTTATTTACAAATAATTAATTAAAAATTTTAAATTTGAACTGTTCAAATTAGATATAAATAGTCTAGGTTTGATGAATTTAAGATACTCCTCAAAACCCTCAGCTTCCAAGTCCAAACGGTTCGTACTCTCCCCTCCAGCACGTGCAGCACGTGTTTTTTCCTCACGGAGAGGAGGAAGGAAAATGAAGATAAAAGTAGAAAAACAAAATTAAAGAAATAAAAGAAAGGGAATTGAAATAAAATGAACAAAATAAAATAAAATAAATTATTTTTTATATTTCAATTTATTTTTAACTACTTCTATTGTATTTAAAAGCTGTGGTATTTACCATGAAGATCTTCTGGTACTCAAAATTAATTTCTATATTCAACTCTTAAAAATCAATCAAAATTATCGAAATGATAACTCTCCAAATATATTAAAAATATTTTTTAAATATACTGAAAAAAATGGAGAGTTGTCAATACTACTACCATTTCTTCGTCACTAATATTCCTCCACAAGTGAAGTAAAGTATAAGATTTAATTTTAACTGGCTGAATACAATATAAGATAGTAAGAATAAATTCTACAGTACTAAAGTTAATTAAACAAGTAATTAAACATTGTAATCAAACCGTCTTCTCTTCTCATCAATTTTTTCTCTCTTGAAAAACATGATATCTTAAATGAATCCAAATTCTCTTTGGACCATTTTCTTATATAAAATAATGAACACTATATATAACTTCAAACAAAGTTGATTTATGTGTTTTCAAGAAATCAAAATTCTCAGCCAACTGGAACATCCAAACATTCTGAAGTATTATGGCAATGAAATAGTAAGTACTCTCCTACGTTAAGCTGATGAGGGAACTGTGTACACAATTAATTAATCACTTACTGGTTCATGCATAGTTAGATTGGATACCACATTTTTCTATTCATGAAACACATCGAACCAGGTTCACTAAAAAAATATATCTCGGAAGAGAAGGGGTTTACTTGAACCTTTAATTCGAAATTTCACCAAACAAATTCTCTCTGGGTTGGATTACCTGTGTAATAAAAGAGTTGTTCACAGGTATAATCCCTCCTTACATGGAATACTGCATGAGTTTTGGTCATCATAACACACATCCTGTGTATTGGGATTGTAATGATTAATTTATTCCCCCCACCTCTCATTCTTTCTTTCTTTTTTTATATGTATGATTGTATAGGGACATAACGCCGGACAATCTACTTGTCGATTCTAACAACATAGTAAAGCTAGTTGACTTCGGTTTGGCTAAGCATGTAAGTTCTTGGATATCTTGTACAACATGCATTCACGTGACAAAATCGAGGCCACTGATTTTTGAACTCGAGATGGTGTTTCATGTTTAGGATATCACTACAAAAAAACTGACTTTCAGTGGTGACAAAAAGTCGCAGCCAAAAGTTTTCAGTGGCGACTTGTTGTCACTGAAAAGTCGTTGCCGTAGCAACCATGGCTGAAAACTTTCAGTGGGGACAAAAAAAGTCACCGCTGAAAGACACTTTTGGCAGTGACGTTCTTGTCGCCATTGAAAGAACTTTTAGCAGTGACAATCTGTCGTCACCAAAAGTGACTTTCAGCGGTGACTCTTTTTGTCGCCATTAAAAGTGATGCCTAAAAAAAATTAGCTATCGATGCCATGTCATTGCCACCGACTACCATGTCATCACTGGCCACCTCCACCTCATCGTTGTCGAGCAACACGTCATCACCGACCAAGTGCCATGTCATCACTAGCCACCTCCATGTCATCGTCGGCCGCCCCCACGTCATTGCCACATCACCACTCTCATGCCACATCACTCCTTCCCACCACATCACCACCCAAATATTTTCACCTTAAATGTGTCTTCTTCAAAGTTTGAACTCGTGACTACCTCTTTTTGTGTCCAATCTTCTAGCCGTTGAGCTAGACTGAATTTGTTTATTACTATTGTAAAATAAAATATATATTATTATATTATACTTTCAGCGGCGATATTAGAAAGTCGCTGCTAAAAGTCTAGTCACCGCTGAAAGTCTACTTTTGATGGCAACCCTAGAAAGTCGCCACTGAAAATGAACCCTTCAGTGATGACATCACTATCGAAGGTCTAATATTCAGCGGCGACAAAAAATCTTACTTTTAGCAGTGACTTTTTATTGTCGCTGCTGAAAGTCTTTTTTTGTTGCCTTTGAAAGCCGTCAACTAAAGTTTTTTTTTTTTTTTTTTGTGTGTAGAGGATGAGTATGTGTGTCCCACAGTATTGGTGGTTAATTATTTGTGGCCTTTTAAATGCTATGATAGTCCCAAGAGTCAGCAATAGTGATGACTTAAATGGGCTTTTTTGTGTTGAATAGCTAGGAGAATCTGTGGACCAGCACTCCACGTCGGGAACTCCATATTATGCAGCCCCAGAGGTACATATTTTCAAACTCTACATTATGTGTCACAAATTAAAGTATTTCTTAATAGACTTGTTTAATTTCTCATATATACAGGTTATAAGAGCTGGCGCGAAGCTTCTGCTGCTGATATATGGAGTTTGGGTTGTGTAATCATTGAAATGTTCACAGGGGAGCATCCTTGGCCTCATGCTGATCCGGTAAACACTTTTACACTTCTATGTATATATAGAGCGAACATTGCATTAGATAATATATATATATATATATATATATATATGACTTCTTAATTTGCATATATAAGATCAAAGAATGCAAGTCTCTGTTATTTTATGCTTTAAACAAATGAAGCAAAAACAAAGCACATAATGTACTGTAAGGACTAGCCAATCTTTAGGTCTAGCGTTAATGAAGTAGTGCCTTGGTTAAATGCAAGGGCAATAAGTGAGAAATTTGGGTATTAAGTATATGAAACATTGCATCCCATATATGGATCTTTCATTTATTTGTTAATTTAGTATATAACTAAAACAAACTCATTTACTGAGCAGGTGCGGGCTTACTATAAAATTTGTGTTGATCATCAACATCCGCCCATACCAGAAGAGTTGAGCCAAGAGGGTAAAGATTTTCTTCAACTCTGCTTCCTAGCTCCAGACGAGCGGCCTTCTGCTGCAGCATTGCGAGAGCATCCCTTTGCAAAAGCACAGACAACTTAGCTTGCTGATGGAAGAAAATACAAGGCTTGATAACGTTGGGAGTATTGGGAGATTTTAGTATGACATATATATAGCTAAAGCCTTAATTAGTCTATATAAGAAGGGGAGGGGGTGTCTGATGCACCCTCTAATGCCTTCCTTGCTACCCCTTCATTTTGGCTTCCTTTCCAAATGTCTTTTGGTCATCATCTTCTACATAAAATGAGTGATATTTTGATATTTTATGAGCAAAAAATGGTACAGTTTTTAATTTTTTACGATTTTTCAAATATTCCACATAAAATATGTAGTTTCTTTTTAATTTAGAGTATTTTTCTTTGAAAAATCATAACAAAATTGAAAACTATTGTATTATTTTTTGTCCATGAGATATCAGTGTCACTTTTTGTAGAATTTAATGACCAAAAGAAATAAGAAGAAAATATTTGAGAAGGGAGGCAAAATGAAAGGGCAAGAAGAATGGCATTAGAGGGGGTACAACAGACACCCCTAAGAAGGGTCGTCTCTTCAATAATTTTGTGCATAGCAGGAGCATTATTCTTCATAAAATCTTCATTCTTTCCTCAAGAATTTGTATATCGATCTCTATCTTCAATTTCAACAGAAGATCGATTTGGTAAATGGCTGCTGTTTTGTCATCTTTTGTTACTGTTATTCTGCCAACTTAATTACATTTAGAGTTCAAATAACTTAGTCCCATCTTTTAGTTTGCAGATACATAATTAAGGAGACACAAAACTAACCGACCAGAAAGTTAATTACAAGTATTTGTGTATGCCTAGCTCCCTCAGCATACTATTAATGGCTCCCGCGTACTTTACGTGTGTTTCGTTGCATGTCCATGCAGACGTGAATATTCA